ATCCCTGTTCTGATGCCTGGATCCACCCTCTTCCCTCCTGCCTCGAGCCTTCAGAGTCTGCCTACTCATAGTGGGTCACTGACTTTTTGTCTCTGTCCCTTATTGTCCTGGTACCAGGCCAAACTCCCCAGTTTTGGAGGAAGGGACCCACTGTGAACCATCCAGGGTTAGGGTTAGGGTCCCTCTAATCGTCTTTAGAAATTTGCCCCTTGGTTCTTCCTAAAGTCTACCCTAAAGTCGCCTCTACCGCAACTGGTCCTAAGCTAGGAGATGGGTTTTCTTCTTGCTCCAGCCACCGTGATCCTTCTTCAGATGAACCTGGACCCTCAATGAGACAACCAACCAAGCTCTGAAAATGAAAATAAAAGTCTCCACTCATCTACAGCAGCTCTCTATGTACTTGCCTTGACCTCCCCCTGCCCCAAGTCACCACAGAAACCCAAAGGGCATTGGAGCCTTTGTCCCTGAATGAGTCAGGGCCCCTTAGAGGGCTGAGCTGGGGTGCAAGAATTTCCCCTTTGTACCAAGCAAGGGCTGTACTTGATGGCAAACTCCAGCATCCCAGAGGCTAAGAAACAAGATTGGCTTCCCCAGGCACAGCCATGATTTTCTGGGAATGAGGGCCTAGAAACTAGCCTATCTCAACCCCTATCCAAACCCTGTATTTGATACTAAGGGGGTGGTGATGGTTCAGAGCGCCCAAGGAAGGAGTTAGGAGGCCAAAAGTGCTCAGCCTGATGCTCTGTGCTCTGTTCCTGCCCTGTTAGTACCCTTCTACATTTTCAACCAAGGAAGCAATACCAATAGAAACTTCTTCCATTTGGGGTTCCAGGAACCCTTGAGGTGGGGAGTGATCAAGGGTCAGCTCCAAACCTCCTGGCTCATTCTTCTTCTTCCTGTCCCACTCAGAGGTACAGAGAGACTTTCCCAAGGGGGAGGAAGGTAATAGGTACTAGGGCCAATGAAGATGATTGGGAGAGTTGAAGCAGCAAGCAGCTGGCTGACCCCTGGGGAAGCTGGCAGCCTCCCCCACTGCCCCTGCACTGCATATATTCTCTCCCCCCAAAATAGCATCTCTGGAGGGGGGAGTGGAGGGAGTTCTCAGCTCATTGTTCGCTCCTTCCCACAGTGTGTTCACAGTTCTCCCCGCTGTCTCTCGCGACCTGGTTTCCCTGCCAGGCCCTTCTGCTCTGCCTGCACCCTCACCTCTTCACCCTCCTGGGTTCCAGGACCCTTGTGCCAGAGAGAGAGAGCTTCTCGGCCTTGACCAATCCTGCCTGCCATTTCCTGCCTCCTAGCCCTGACTGTTGCATGATTTCCTACTCATATTGGGAGCAGAAGTAAATTTAAGGCACACAAATGGATCATCAAATGTGTTGGTGAAGGTTTAGGTTAAGTCTCTGGGTCAAGGGATAAAAAGCTGGGGCTCAGAGGTAGAGCTCTTAAGTGCAAGCCAACTAGAGCAGTCCTGGTCCTTTCCTCTAAGGATCTCATGAAGGTGAGGCCCAACATTTGGAAACCTCCAAATAAAGCTGGCTTCTATCAGAACTGGGAGCTCCAGGGGGGAAAGGCTTCTTTGCTTTCCAACCACACAGCCGAAGGCTACAGGGTCTCCCACTGGACTCTGATTTATGTTGTCATAGAATCTAACCACAAATTCTACTATTGTCTGGTCTATTTCTTGTACAGAATGGCCCCTTCAATTGCTCCTGAGTTGATAAGGGAGATTCAGGCTCAAGTCCTGGGAAAGGTTCAGTCTGATGGGGGAAGCAGGTCACAGACTGGTGAACATGGGCAGAAGCTACGTCCCAGCTGGGCAGGGTTAGGGTCCTCACAGTCCCAAGAGGGTCTCCAGGGAGAAGGCTTACAGGGTAGGGGTGTGAAGTAGGTTCAGGAACGCGGTGTCAGGCTGAGTGAGAGGATAGAATGGGGTGTCTGCTCAGTCTGAGGGTGGATGAGCAACAGTGGGTGCACTTCCTCTGTCCGTGGCCAGCTGTAGGGCTGACCTCCTGCCCCCAGCACCGTGAGAGAGTTGGAGGCAGGGAAAGAGCCCCCTCAAAGTTATCCCCCCAAGGGAACCACTTTCCCCCCCTTGTTATTTCTAGCTCCATTTTCTTGGTCAAGAAGGGTGTCAGTGGCAATGCAAATGAGGAGGTACTAGAGGTGCTGGTGACACCCATCCTGTCCCCCAGCTCCTCCCTGCCTTCCCCAGTGCCCACACTCACAGTGGTCTGGAACATCTGTGAGAAATGCCTGGTGGCCCTGCACTTGGCCAATGCAGCAGAGAGGGTGGCTGAAGCTGCAGGTCGGGGGCTACATTCCCAGGGGCATCTGCTTTAGTCACAAAGACAAGGCACAGACTGAACCTCCAGGTTCCCCCCTTCCCCTGAGCCCCTCCTGCTCTCGGCCCTACCAGGCCTCAGGTCATGAACACAGAGCTGTGTCCTGGCAACAGAGTGCCACAGACCAGCACCTCAAACCAGAGCTTCCCTCACAGGCTGCGCTAGGGCAGGGCCAGTGGCTTTCAGAATACCCATCTCAAAGCCCCCTACAGATGGAGTTAGATCTCACAGGAACTTGGGTGACTTGGGGAACTATCCACAGCCCTGAGAATCTCTCAAGTCACAGAAGTGGAGGAAGGGCAGGAAAAAGAGAAGGGTGCTGGAGGGGTTCATCCCCCACCTCCATCTCTGTCAGTTACCTCATCCCACCTCTCCCAGCAAGGTCCCCCTTTGCTCTTAATGTATCATTATTATTCATAACCTCAATTCTTCCTGTGATGGCCAGAGTTGCTCTGTGCTTCCTCTTGTTGAAGAAGAAATGGGACTTGGGAAGCTATCCTGCTCCCCCTACCCTATAAAGATGTCACTAAGCAAAAACCCTGCCCCTTCTGTCTTAATCAACTGAGGTGTTTCTTATTAACATGGCTCACTCATCCACACACCCCTCCCTTTGTCAGCAATCAGCTTTTTCCAACAGAGGCCACCAGCTTCTCAAAGAGCTGTCACCCTCCTCAGCAGATCTTGGGGCACAGCCTGCACAGAGACCCAGCACAGGGGCTAGGGTCTGCATGGCCTGGGACCTCTAGATGGGGAAACTCAGGGTGCAGGGGACCAAAACTGAAGCGGATATTGGGTGACACTGACCTGTAATTGGCATATGGAGATACACCGAAGCTGATTTGGTCTCTGCAAAGTCCTCATTTCCACCCCTACCATGTGTGCCTTTGTGCCTGTGCTAGGGAGAGCAAGTGGGTCCCCCAGGAGTCTCTTCTAGCCTTTCAGAAGTTCCCCCTCTACCTCACTCGAGTGAAAATTGTCCCACCCCATCCCTGTTCTCAGGATCCTAGAGATGACAATCCCTTTGTCCTCCAAACCTGCATCTCTTGGCTCCTCCTGAGCTTCCTCTGGACTCCGGAGAGCAAGGAGTAGCAAAATGTCCTATCTGATCACAGGCTTCCCAGCTCTCCTACCCCTCAGTCCTTTCCTCTCAGGTACATCAGATGAAAGGCTGTGGCTGTTGAGAGGACCTGGATGGATGGAGGCATGCTGCCTCTTTCTCCCTTCTCTGCCTTCTCTTCCAACCCCCAGCAACATTCTGCCCTGTACCTGAGGCTTTCCCAAGTCCCCAGAAATCAGGGAGACAAGCTGCCAGAATCTGCACCCTCTGTCCTCGTGCTCCCCTCACCCTGATGACAAGAGTGTCTGGGCAGACTACTTGGCTTCCCTCCTACCTCAGGCACACTCAAGGACCATGTTCAGGTTACCTGGGCTGCCGGTGTCTATGCCAGCTCCTCCTTTGCCTCTTCTCAAGACAGGTTTTTCCCATGCCTTGATGCCCTAGACCATCCCTTAGTCCACTGTTCCTAGCAAGTGCGTCCAGAGATCTAGTAGGACCTGGATCCAGAAACCATAGCCACAGGGGTCACTGAGCACTCATGTGCCAGAGGTTCTAGAACCTTCTTTCTCAGGGCTGGGAACCATGTTTGTGAGGTGGTTTTTACCTTTCCTGACACTACTGTCTGGCCTTCAGACAGTAGCAGTTTATTACAATGCAGGAGTTGGGGAGATTGAACCCTGGTATAGAATGGGGAGAGACAGCTGCTGTGGTCTAGAGCTGAGTCTCAAGCCACTGATGAGCAATTGCTTCCATGTCCTGTCTGTTTTTTCTTCCCAGTGCTAGGGATTAAACTCCAGGGCCTTGTACATAGCAGACAAGAGCTCGACCATTGAGCTATACCCACAGTCCTCCCTAAGTCCCTTTTCTAAAGTGAACATTTGGCTAAAAAAGGCCATGTGGAAATGAAGGGCACCCAGAGTTGATGAATGAAGTACATGAGGCCCTTTTTGCAGATTGAGGACACAGTTGAGGCTGGGGCAAAGTCACAAGTTCATGACCCAGCTCTGACCTCCCAGGGGTAGGGTATTTGAGGCTGCAGCTGAGCCTGGCCCCTCTCTGATCTTAGACCCAAGAGGACATAGAACATAGATAATCTTCCTCTGTGATGTCCCAGCCTGGCTCCTGGCATTCAGCATTATCTGATAAAAAACATTAACTATTGTTCACTGACAACCTCCCCAGGGGATTTAGAACCTCTGCTGGCCAGTCCTGCTGCCTGGGAAAGTTCAAGCGCCCCAGCACATAATCAAGGTTATCTGAGAAAAATAGGAGCTACTTATCAATGAAACCTCCCCATCCCCCACCAGGGCTTTAGAACAAAACCTCCAATGGCCAGACCTGCTGGGAAGGAAAGTTCAAGAGCCACTGTACCTGATCAGGGTCAGGTGGCTGCCTTAAAACCTGTTCTGAATTGAAAAAAGACACAAGCTACCTGTGAGGGCTAGCATGTCTGCATTAGTAGAATCCCAGAATGTGGGCCACCCATACTTGCCAGTGCCAGCTCCCCAGTGGCTGTGGTTCCCCAAGAGAGTTTCCAAGACCTGCTTCCAAGTGAAGGCTAGCTAACACCCTACCCTATCCATGGAGGCACAGGCTGAGCGCAGATGGAACAGGTAAGTTTTATTTGGACTTTTCAACTTGTTCAGAGAGCATAGGCCCCCCTTCCCCTCTCCAAGCCCCCTTCCCCATGTCCCCTCTCCGAGGAACACTCAGGGTACAATGACACGTGTTTCTGGAGTCCTTGGCCCCTTCCCTGATGACACACCCCTCGTCCCCTTGCACAGAGAAAGGAGGGGTATGGGGAGGGGGCCTGGAAGATTTGGATCAGAATGGCACATGTGATAGACAGTGGTGTCCACTGCCACTGGCCAGCCAAGGCCCCAGGGAGGCTTGAAGTGAGGGGTGGATTCATTGTGGGCAGCAGGCTCCCTTGGGAGGCTCCCACCTCAGCCTGGGGCCCCAGCCTCCTGCTCCCCGTCCTTCTGAGGGGACGACTCTGAGGTAGATTTCACAGAGGGAATATAGGGGGGTAGGTGGGTGTGGGAAGGGTGTTAGCTCTTTTGAAGTTTATCTCCACAGCACCCTGGGCCCATTCTCAGGTTCTGACCTGGGAGGCAGGGGCTGATGACACCCACCCAGCTAAGAAAGGCTGGGTCACATATGGGCCCCAGCACACCTGTAGTGTCAGGAGCTGCACTGGGGGAGCTCAGGGGCTTCTGCCTTGATGTTCTGCACCTTAGTGCCAGGAGCTCCAGGGGGGGGGCCCATGCCTGGGAGGCTGGCAGACAGTTCCCTGGCCTGAGGGTGATGGCCCAGGAGTTCCAGCCCCAAGGCAGCCTCTTTGGGCTAGATCATCTGAGACCTGCAGGGTCCTCCCACTCCTCTCCCACCCTCCCTGTTCCCCAGGGTGGGATGAGGGGGGAGAACAAGGCTGGCCTGCAGAGACTACCAAGAAACATGATGCCTCCTTTACCCAGTGCCATGAGCCCCACGCTGGTCATGAGACAGAAGTCAGAAGGGCTGGCATCAGTGTGCAGGGCAGGCTCTGGGACCCTACCAGGTGTTCCCTGGAAGAACACAGCCCAGGAAATATGAACATCTGAGAAGAGGCACCGGGAGCTCCTGATACCCTCCCCCCTCTCCTAGGCCTAAGCACTACTCATTCTTGGATCCAACCCTGTTGAAGAACAGAAAGGCAGAGGAGAGATGGAGGGTGTGTCCTCCCCATCCCAGCCCAGATCCCCACCCCCTTAGTGGTAACCAGGAAGATAGGGGGGAAGTCTTGGCTGATCTCCGGGAAAGAGTCAGAGCTGAGTGGTGCCTGGATCAGGGAAGACGGCACGGCACGCACACTGACTTGGTAGCTAGTGGAGGTATCTGGGGACCGCAAGGGGCAGGGCCCCCCCACGAGATTCATGCAGCATTCAAAGTGAGTGTTTGGGGGGAGCTGATGAGAGAGAGCAGAGTAACAGCCAGTTGGGGGGGGAGGCGCCCTAGATCTTGCTGTTCTCCAGGTGGGAGTCAATGTGTTTGATGAGGGCATCATCTGGGTATCCGACAGGGAAACCCAGCTGGCAGAGGGGGCAACTGCGGATGTCAGAGCCCACTGTCTCCATCAGCAGCTGTGAGGAGAGAAGAAAGTCACTTACAGTCTGGCCATATCCCAGCCCGCCCTTTCCTAGGACCCACAACATGGAGGGCTGCAGCATGCAGAAGGGGTTCAGATATCCTTTCTTCAGCAACATCCTTCTGGCCACCAGCTCAGCATCTACTCCCCTGTCCCAGGGCACAGGTGTGTATGAGAGTCACTGTTCAGCTTGCCAGGGCTCCCCAGTAATGAGGGAAACCAAGACCCAGACATGCCTCCAAAGTGACTAAGATACAGCTCCAGATAACTCAAAGCACTGGACAATTGCAAACAATGAACCCCAAAATAATTTTCTGTCTGACTCTGGAATGTATTTTGGTCCTTCCAAGTGGCAAGGGGTAGCTGTTACATTCAGCAAAATCATTATTTAGTGAAATGACAGAGCCCTGAGACTGGCTGTCTTCCAGGACAGACAGAAAACAGCAAGGGCTCTGAGGCCTGGAGGAGGGAAGTGGATAGGCAGGCCTGCCCCTGTGTGGGTCCATGTCTTGCCCTCTTTAGGATCCCAATCCTTTGGTCATCACTATAATAGCACGGTTTGGGATCACTGCCTCCTGAAAACCTACTAAGGTAATTGGGTAAAAACATCGTCCTCCTTAAACCAAAGATCAGAGAGAACAACTCGAATGAGGCCCACAGATTGATACTAAGCAGTGGAGTCAGAATCAAAGCCAGGATTATCATTCTAAGGATCATACTCTTAGCAGAATTAGACAAAAGTCTTACTGGCGTAGACCCCAATTCCTGCCAACCAGAAACGGTGGGAGAGGGAAGTGAAACGACCTATACTAAATAAACTACGGTGGCTCGCACTGTACCTATCACTAGTGAATGCTTTGCACCTGGGGAGGGCGGGTCCCAGAGGAAAAGGCTCTCGGCTCTCCACTACAAGTCGCGGATTGGGGTGGGGGGATAAGGGAAGCAGCGTGCCCACTCACATTGATGGACGGCCATGACTGCGCGTGCTCAGCGTGGGCGTAGGCGGCTGGAGATTCTGGGATAGGGAAGCCCGCGCAGAAGGAGGCGCAGCGGATGGTGCCCGCTTCGGGACTGGGCGGGCTGGCGGGCATGGCCCACTCCTCCTCCTCCGAAGGCTGCTTCTCGAAGCGCAGCCGGATGCCCTCGAAGGCGCGGCGCGGGCTGAGCGGTCTACCGGGCCCGTAGAGCTCGCTGTAGGCGCGCGGCTTGGGGAGCGTGGCGGCCTCGGTTTGCAGCCAGGCCGGGGAGGCGCCCGCGTAAGCCGCGCCCTCCGCCAGCTCGGAGTAGCTGCGGCGGCCCTGGAAACCGGCCTTCACGTGATGGCTGGGCGGCTTGGCGTACGCACGCTCGGCCAGCGTCCTCTCCCCGGGCGGCGGCAGCGGCGGCGGCGGCGGCGGCGGCCGGGACAATGTGGTTCTTTGCCAGGGACCCGATCCGGGACTTCCCATTCGAGCTCAGCCCGGAGCTGGCACGGCGGTGGCACCGGCGAGCGGCGCTGCGGGACGGGCGACGGGCAGGAGGTGGAGGCCGGCGAACGGCGCTGCTTGGGGGAGGGGCACGGGGGCACGGGCGAGCGGCGCTGCGCGGCGGGGGACTGGCACGGGGCGCACGGAGGTGCCGCTCGGGCAGGCGGGGAAGGCGACGGGCACTGAGGGGCCGGGGAGTGGCGCTGCGACAGCGGAGAGTGCCTCTGGCCTGGAAGAGAGCGACGGTGTGGAGAAGTGGAAAGTGCCTGGGTGTGTTTGGGAAGTCGCGGGAACTGGCGAACAGCGGTCCTGGGCCCACCCAGTCAGTGGAAGGTGACAGCTGGACCCAGCATCCTAGCCCCAAACATCCCAGTACCCGGAGGCCTGCCCTGCCAGTCTCACCTGCATTCCGGGCCTGCTCCTGCAACAGGGTCCTCAAGATTCTCCCCTGCAGGGAACTTAACTCCCGAAGCCGGCCCAACTCCTCAGTCAGCTCGGTGTAAGCCAGGGCCAAATTCACCCTGAGGTCAGACGGCAGGGGGTGAGGAAGAAAAGATTTTGTTCTTCCACCCCAGCAGCAGAAAAGAACCAGCTCTGCCTTGCATCTTAGGCACCTATTCCACCTGCAGGAGTCCTCTCTGCCTCAAGAGTCACCTCTTCCAGGGAGCCTCCCTCTGCTTCCAGAGACCAATCCCCACACTGGAGCAGAGGTTCCCCACCTAGGGCAAGGATGGGGGTAGAGAGATTCCAAGGGGTCCCTGAAACCCACTGTGGCCTGAACATAGCTCATACAGGTGTATGTGAATGCTTTTCCTAATCAGTACAGAAACTGATGGCAAAACAAATTCATAAAAAATATATATATACTGGGGCTGGAGAGATGGCTCAGAAGTTAAGGGCACTGGCTGCTCCTGCAGAGGACCTGGGTTTGATTCCCAGCACCCACATGGCAGCTAACAACTGTCTGTAACTCTAGTTTCAGGGGATCCTGCCCTCTTCTGAACTCTACAGGCACTGCACCACACAGGTGCACTTACATACATGCAGGCAATACACTCATAAACAAAAAAAGCTGTACTGAATTTATAGTAGCTTTTATCACTGCAAAGTTTTCTCAGAGTTCATACTAAAAGTATAACAGGCAGGGGCCTGATGCAAAGCTGTAACACCCCCCTCCTCCCACTTAGGAGGCCAATTCAGGAGTTCAAGGACTGTCTGGGATACAAAGTAAGTTCAAGCTCAACCTGAGCAACTTAGTGAGATCCTGTCTCAAAATAAAAAGCAAAAACTGGTCTCAAGATGCAGCTCAGTGGAAGAGCACTTGCCTGGCAAGTGTGAGACCCTGGGTTCAATACTGGCCACTGTCCCAGTACCTAAGTAAATAAAACTAAATTTGTGTGTGGAGGAGGGGGACCCATGAAAATCATCCTCAACCTTGAAACGATTAAGCACTAGTACTGCACAGCCTATGACCAGTTGGTTCCTAAGGAAACGCAGCCCCCAGCCTAGCAGAGGTGTCAAGTGATTAGCTCCATGGGCACTGTTCCAGGCCCACTGCTCTTGCCTCTTTCTATCTCAAAGCTGTTTTGGAGGTCTTTCAGCTCCACACCTCTCAAGACCCCTTGCTGTATACATCCATCCTGACCTTTCCATACACATCTTTATGTGCAGCTGCTAGGCACTACAAACCTGCAGGGTGTGCTACCCAACCCAAATTATTTCTCAAAGCCTACCTTGCTCTGGAATTTTATTGGGGACTCTATTGTATTTCTATTCCCAGCTCCTGGTACTCAGTAGAGGTGTAATAAGTGGATACTGAACTAAGCCTCTGTCCAGCTTTTCCCGCTCAATTAGGCTCCTCAACAGCTACATTTTCAGAGCTGGGACAGTCTCTAAGTTTAGCAAGGTACCTAAGTTTAGCAAGGTATCTCACCATGTCCTTTCCTCTTCCTCTGAGCATACACCATGGAAATGATCACTCCAGCACTGCCCCTCTGTTTTCTCCCCTTGACCTACTGCCCCAGCCTCAGGAACCCTTCTGAGCTTTGTCATGGCGAACCTTCCTTTATCTGAGTTCTAGGCTTGGAAGGAGCCTGAGATCTCTCTGAGGGCTGGCTCTCCCTCCCCCTCCCTCTCCTCCCACTTCTCCAACTGCAGAAGGAACTTAGGAACTTCAGAAGCTGGGGCTGGAGGGAAGTGGAAGATGCCATTCCAGGTGGATCTCCTGGGGCAAGGGGATGCATGCAAATGGAGCAGCAAGGGTAGGGGTACAGGTGTGATGACCGTGAAGAAGATAATGTGCCTACCAGGAGAGGCAAGGCGGTGAGGCCAGGGTTTGGAAGGCAGGTAATGACTGTGCTGCTCACTCTTGGCCTAGAGGTTATTGCTTACTAATCTGTGGGCATGGCATAAAACTGTTTTTAAAATATTTTACTAGTTTTATGTGTATGAATGTTATGCCTGCATGTAGGTAAGTGCACCTGTGTCGTGCAATGCCCTCAGAGGACAGAAGAGGCCATCAGATCCCTTAGAACTGGAGTTATAGTTAGCTGCCATGTGGGTGCTGGAATTCGAACCTGGGTCTTCTGCAAGAACTTCTTAACTGCTGAGCCATCTCTCCAGCCCCATAAAACTATTTTTAATCCAGCTGCACCTGGGAGTTAAGCCCACTTCCTAGGAAAAGCAAGGCCTTACAACCAATCTTCTAAGAAAGGAGAGGTCCTAGGAATCATGACCCAGGCCCTGTGGCCACCATCCCACCATATCTCAGGCTCCTTGTTTGCTAAATGCATCACTGAGTCTCTGGGAAGAAATAACATCTTTCCATCAGACTGGGAGATTGAGGTATGTTCCACATCAAACTGGGGACCTCCTCAAGGAAGCTTCAATCTTGACTGAGGGCAGGACGTATATCCCTGGCCATACTAGGGGCTTCTGAAGGGCAGGATCATGCCATCCACTCAGCAGTGGGGGCCAGAGGGGACTCTGGACAGTGCAATGATAGTGTCACCCTCTGCCAATGCAGCCACAGCTTCTCTTCCCATTCACTGTCCCTGCTGCATCTCAGGTGACAGATACAGGTCATCTGCTTCACACCCTACCTAGGAGATCTCACCTGTCACACTCTGTTCCCTAGGCTCCCCTTATCCCTCCTGGCCCTTCCTCCCTTATCAGGAGCCACCCTAGTTTCCACAGCCAGCATCTAGCCCTCTCCTTGCAGTAAAACAGATGGAACTATGGCACATGGGAAGAGGAAACCCCTAGCCCAGAATCCTCAGCTTCTCTCCCAGCTGACACTGGAGGCCTGAGGTAAGCAGACACAGCCCTCTCAACAGCCCCCAGGCCATCCTCACAAAGAACTCAATGCAGAGTGGAGCTCAGACCTCCTCCTGACATCTGGCCTATGCGACCTGCCCTTTCCTAAGGCATCTCTCTCCTCACATTCTCTACTCATTGAATATGCGAAGCACCTGAATGTCTCACTGAAAACACTGCCAGTTCAGTGGAAAAAAAGAATCTCCACAACACAACCCACAGCCTCACATGTGCACATGGCTAAATACACACTCCGCTTCCTGGCTACACCTGAGAGCTTTTTTCACCATCATGACTTTGGGAAGAACAGGTCAGGTGAGCGGCAGCACACGGCTGTACTGAGGTGCTTCCAGACTACTGAGATCACAGGGAGAAGGTCTGAGTCAGAGCCTGGGAGGGATCAGGGAGAACAGAATCTCAGATGCTGTGCATGAGTGCTGACCACGGGCCAGGCAGCGCCCTAGGAAGCTCATTTGTCTTTACAACAACCCTATGACAACCATTGCCACTATCATCTCCTCCTCCTCTCTATAGGTAAGAAAACAGGTACACAGAGGTGAAGCCACACGTCAAGTCTTTTTGTTTTTTTATGTGTATGAACATTTGCCTACATGTATGTAAGTGCACCCATGTCATGCAATGCTTACAGAGGCCAGAAGAGGATGTTGGATCCCCTGGAACTGGAATTATAGACAGTTGTTAGTTGCCATGAGGTAGCTGGGAATTCAACCCAGGTCCTCTGCAAGAGCAGCCAGTGCTCTTCCCTGCTAAAACTCAGCTAAGTCTTAAAGGTCAGAAGTGGCAGAACTGCTGAGATAGAAGCACCTAGATGCCAACAATCAGGCTACTGACCAGTATACATATACCTCTCAAACCACCAGGAATGCAGAGAGAGAAGGGAAAGAGGAGGAAGGGGATGGGGCTCTTAGAAGTGGCCCAGGTGCCCAGAAAACTACCATTCCTGCCCAGGGAAGAATGAAGAAGCCAATAGGGAAGGTAGTGAAAGACTAGGGTGATGAGGAGCTGGTTCAAGGCTGCAGAGCGGTAGTGGCACTGAGCAGATTCAAACACTTGCTCTTGGCATCTCAGTCCACTGAGATGGCAGGCACCTTTAGAGGGGCCATAGTGCAAATGACTACCTTTCCTTGACTTATCCAGGAAATCTGAAAAGCCCTTCTGGAAGCAACTGTCTCTACTGTTATTGATAAAGTAACTACAATCCAGAAGATCAAAGCCCTAAGTATCCTCAGCCTCTTTCTGCCTCAAACTACTTCTGAGCTACACAGGTTCCCCCAGACTCCGCTGCATCAGAGCAAGGAGGGTGTAATAGAGCCAGAATTTAGGGTCAGAACTTCCAAGTGATAGGATGAAACTTGAACATAATCTTAAAGTCAGGATGAAAAATAAAGTCAATGTCAGGGTTAGACTAGGTATGGAGCTGGCAGTGCTTTTGAGGCCACGATTATAGACACAGTTGGGGTTAAGGTTAAAGTCAAGAGATGGCTCAGAATGGGGTTAGGACAGGATTCAGGGCTACAGCTGTCCTGTGGTCAGAACTATCATCTGAAAAAGACCTGGGAAGAAAATAGAAATCCAGCATTTCCAGTCCTTCCATCCTTACCATTATCTGCCCCTGGCTGCCCCAGCGCTGCCTTACCCAGTGGGGGAATTTAAGGGCCAAACTTTCCACCCACCTACAGGCACACCCAGCATCAGTCTTCCCGCGCACCCGACCCTCAGGGAGGAGACCACAGGCACCAGGCCGTGGAGCAGACTTGAGGTTGTGGGCTGGGGAGGGGGGAGGAAGTTGCTTTGCAACAAGCCAGTGCTCCACCACTTCCTTTCCGGAGCCTTGAGCCCTTCACACTCCTCGACCAGCTATAACTTGGGGTCCCCAGAGCCAAGCTCTTCATGGCAACCTCTGCCAGGCAGAGCCAAGATGGCTGCTGTGTCCAGAAGTTTCCCAGATGCGACAGCTCATGGTGGGGCAGGAACCAGAGGCCACAATTTGCCCAGGACTGTCCCTGTTCACACTAGTTGCCCCGACATTTTTATTATTAGTGCCCCCTTTCACTTTCAAAAGTGATGCAATTTGGTCAACAAATCACATGGTCACCCTCTTATAAAGGGCCTGCAGAACAACCTGAGCAGAGAAACACAGCCCTGTCACCCCACCTGCTAGAACCTACCTGGCATCTGCACTGCCCTTTGCTTCCCAAACTTAGCATCTCATGCTTATGAGAGTAAAATGAATCTTTGCAGGGGCAGCACAGACAGAATCCCAGGAGTGCCTGGGGGGAGGTGCAAGCATGGGGAAGCCCATTTTGAGTCTTTTTTTTTTAGGATGCCAGCTTAAGTCTTAGTTTATGCTAAATGTAGTGGCTCATGTCTGTAATCCCAGGACTCAGAAGCAAAGGCAGAAGGATCACCATAAGTGATCTGGTCTACATAGTGAGTTTTAAGCCATCCTGGGCTACATAGACCCTGTCTCAAAGAAACAAGACAAAACAAACAAAAAAAAATACCTGGCTGGTACTACATGTCCTAAGCTTAGTGCTTGGGAAGTGGAGGCAGAAGGAACAAATTCAACATTATCCTTACTTACATAGCAAGTTCAAGACACCATGGGCTACAGGAGACTCTGTCTTAAACAAAAACCAAATCAAAACACAAAAGCATCTGGTTATTAAAGAGGGGAGAGGTGCTGTCTCCTATGAGGAGAGATGGTGACAGGTGGCTCACAGTTTTGGCCCAGCTGGCAGGCATAAGGTTAGCGACTGTTTCAAAACCCACAATCCCCGAGACCAGCAGAGAGTCTCTTCCCACCCTCGGGGCATCCTGAGGCTGCAAGTGCTCAGGGGTTAATTCTTTGTACACTGGGTGTCAGGCTGAAGGAGACTTAAAAGAAAGGAAGTAGGGAGGGTGGTGAGAAGCATGAAGGGGGAGGCCCTGGGCCCACTGGTTCTGGGGCACAAGGCTAAGCTCAGGGTACCTACGAGGGGGTCTCCGACTTCCGTCCTGACCCACCCCACACTGCCCTTGACCTCCGTGCAGAGTTTCCATCCTCTCTCTCTGAGTTCACACTTCCCCACCACTAACCACAGCCCACGCAAAGGCCTGTGGGCGGGGAGAGGGGGGCGGGGAGAGGGGGGCGGGAGCGGTGGGCGGAAAAGGTCCCAGGCTGCAACCCTGAGCCCCCCACATTGGGAAAAAAGGCCTGTAGTTTATGGTTTTCCCATAACCCTTACTGAGCCCCATCTTCTCACTGAGCCCCCTCACCAATGAGACCTCTCCATCACTGGTCCCCATTTTCCTTCCAGAGCCCTCATCACCCTTAAAGTGACCCCACAATTCTGCTCCCCAGCACTGGCCATTATTTCAAAGTCCCACCCAGAAACCACATGCTCAGAGGGGAGGAGGGCACGGGGATTCTGTCCTTCCCATTTTGGCTGGGGCCCTCTCTGAACATCCTCAGGAGCAACAGTGGACTTCACTGCCACCTCTTTCCTCATCATTGCTCTTCTTCTGGGACTGTAACCACCAGGGACTGAGCTGTTCAAGGGAATGCTGCCTACAGGTCAGACCTGGAGAATGGCAACCTGGTGGGTCTGGCCTGCTTTGGGTCCTACTTGCCCAGAATCATTGGTGGTAACAGCTTGTAAGCCAGGGGCTGGGGCGGCCTCTAAGGACTGCTCCTAGGCAGACAGCACAAGGATGGGCATTCACAGAGGCAAAATTTATGTAAGGGAGGCATTTTAATGGTGAGGATTCCTGTGGTCAACCTGGCTGCCCCAGTAAACAAGCTGAGGCCAAAGGTGCCTTTCAGGATGGGAAAGATCTGTACCCAGAAGCAGGCTGGACTCCAGCGCTGACCCCTCACCTTACGCACACTTACACACACACACACACACACACACACACACACACACACACACTCGCCTGGATAATCCCAACCCCAGCATTTCATTCCTGGAAAAGCCCATCAGTAAAATTCCCACTAGCTAAGGAATCAGCGGAAGTAGAGGGAAGGGGAGGGGGTGCTGCTGAGACAGGAGCTGAAAAGAGGTGACTGCACTGTCTTTAGGTGGGAGGGAGCCCTGGGGAGCACCTATTACCAAAAAGGCTGAGTTTATAAGAAAAAACTACCACGGGAGTGAGGACTTCCTCTAAGAACCCGATCCTGCCAAGCTGGGACTGTCCAGAGGCACTAAGGCTAAGGAAAGCATGCCTGGACAGAGTAGGCAGGCCTGGCAGATAGACTGACGGACAATGGAGCAGGGATCCAGGAGTCCTGCAACACAGGAAGCCCAGGAGGAGCCTGAGGTACCTCTGGCCAAAGGGCCTAGAGGGGCAGGTGCCTTAGTTGGGGAGAAGGGACTGCTCTGCCCAGAATGAGCAACATGGACGATACAACCTCCAAAGCACCTTATGGGAGGGATTATCTGTCACTCATAATGCAGCCGTGGCTTCTCAGGAATGTACCATTCCTCTGACCCTTCCCATTCTCTACTCCACCTTCCTCTCACATCCCACAGCAATGACTGACCACTGAGCCAGAAAAGGAAATCTGGGGTCCAGAAAAACAAAGGCAAAGACAGGAAAGCAAAGTCCTTCTTCCCTAGCCCTGAAAGGCTCCCTGGATCAAAGCACAAGTAATTATTGCCGATATCGTCCCTGGCAATTCCATTAAATGAAGGAGCTTTTACTGCTGGTCTTGTAAGGAGTTTGACTCACTAACCTTTAAGTGGACCTTTTGTGTGACTTCTGGGATAAGCAAGGATTCTACACAATTTAGGTATGCATGTATGAGTTCCAGATTGGAACATGTGAGCTATGATGTCTGCAAAGCCCCAGCCACAAGCTAGGGTGGCCCCTTTCCACAAAGCCCCCCAATACTTCCCTAGCAGCCTAGCTGAGGGAGGGGTCCCACCCAACAGTCCCACACACTGGGTTCTCACCCTCCCAGCTATCACAGCTCCACCCAGGCCCTTACCCCAGGGTGGAGAGGGAAGCAAGGGTACCCTTGTTGGCCAGATGCTGGGAGGAAGATGAGGAAACTTGTTAAGAGAGGATCCCTGGGATTCTGAGAACTAGGTATCCCTTGTAATGGAAGGTTAGTTCTGCCTCTCTGGGTGTCAGTCTTCTCCAGTTCCAGTTCCATAGGGAACAGGTGCCACTCACCTCATCTCAAGAGAGAGGACTTAAACAGAAGGAGGCTTGAGCTCCGTTTCTCAGAAAATAAGAAAGCATGAATCCAAGGGCAGGTATGAAAGGCACCAGGCTCTACTCCTGCTCACCCCCTTCACTGCCCAGCACATCCCAAGGCCCCATTGCCAGGTTCCTCAGACACAGCTCCTTCTCCACCCCACCCCCGGGGATTCCAAGGTACATTCTACACCTTGCCCATCTCGAGGACTTGTCCCTTCTGAATGAACAGACAAGGCAGGCCAAATCCTAAATGAGGGAGGCCATCCCCTCCTCCTCCTGAGGGAGGGAGGGAGGGATGATGAACCCACCTACTAAATCTTGCTCCTGGTATAGAAAACTCATCAGAGAACACAGAATAGGACAACAGTCACTGAGTACATCTCTCTCAGCCCAGCACCTTGAGAAAAGACAGGCCTGGTCCCAGAAAAAGCACAGGGAATATCCCAGAACCTGAACACTATCGAGCCCCTCCCCTTCCTGTAACAGGGTCGCAGAGCAATGAGCAACCCAAACATCACACCCCAAGACCTGGGAAGAGAAGCCTCCCAAATGATGCAGGCAGAAGCAGACAGGGACTTCAGAAGCCCTGGCTCCCCAGGTTAAGGGGGGTTAAGAGGGCAAGGGTTATAGATGTGACTTACTGATCGTCCCCAACTCTCTTCACCCATGCCATGTCACATTCTGACTGGTTGGAGACCAGATCCTGAGGAAAAAAGCAAGCGGTCAGAGCCCAGCCTCACCCCTGTCCAGACCCTTCTCTGCCATTCTGTGCTCTGCATAGCTCACACCCTGCACCTTTACCTGAGCCCGGGTCTCCTGTAACTGCTTTAGCTCTCCCTGTAGCCTTTCACATTCTGCCTGGAGTTGCTCTTCCCGGAGCTGAGCCCCCCGAGCCTCCCCCTGTGCAGCCTCCAGAGCCTCTTCTAGCCGCCTCCGCTCCAGCTCACTCACACTCACGCTTGCTGTGGGGCCAGGCCAGCCTGCTGTCAGGAGATAAGACAATGTCAAGCAGGGTCCAGCTGCCTCCACAGACTCCCACTTTCCCAAAGTGAAACAGGTAGGGACTGCAGCCTGAGGTACCCAGAGGAGCCAGAAAGAACCCAAGGATGGGAGATATTATTACAAGAGGGAAACAAGGCATGGGCTCACTACCGATTCAATTTTGCTGCAGACCATGGGAGAAAAATGATACGGTCTCTGGAAAGTATATCAAGCCAGAACCAAAAGTCTAGGGCATCCTCAGGAGCCTCTACTAATCAGTGTAATCTAGGCAGGGGACTCTGGGTGGGGACGCCCTCTGCTGGCATACTCAAGAATTGCAATGATCAGAATAGCCAAAGTATGTCAGTGCCAGAAATTGTGGTTAAGAGTGGTTGAGGTGAAGGAACAGATGGAAAGGATGAAGTGATTATGGAAAAAATTTAAGAGATTGGAATGAGCCAGATATGGTGTCACACATCTGTAATTCCAGCACTGGGAGGCAGAGACAAGAGGATTATTCTAAGTATAAGAACAGCCTGGTCTATGTAGTAAATTCCAAGCCAATGAGAGTTACACAATAAAACCGTATTTCAAAAAAACAAAAAGCAGTCGTGGTGGTGCATGCCTTTAATCCCAGCACTTGGGAGGCAGGCAGACCATGCCTCCATGACAGCTAGGGTTGCACAGTGAGACCGTCTCAAAAAAAAAAAAAAAAAAAAAAAAAAAAAGAGAATTGAGGTTCTAGGCAAGCTAGGGGTGCCAAATGATATTGAAATGTGAGTCAGAATTAAGAGACTTGGGACTGGGAAGGGTGTGTGGAGGGGGAGGGGGAGAATCACTGAGCTCTCACCATGACCCAAGGCAGGTCCCCCTCTCAGAGCCAAGTAATGCAGGTCCAGGTCAGGACAGGGTGAGGCAGGGGCAGGTGGGGGACTCAAGCTGGAGAAGGCTGCATCCCGGAGGCCTTGTTGCTGCCGCAACTGTTGCTCCAAACCACAGATCTGTCGCAGGTGGGTCTCTACCAGAGCCCGCTGCAGGGGAAGCAGAAGGTTGAGGGTCTATACAGGGCCAAGGAGCCCCTATGGGCTCCTAAAAACCCATGACTCCGCCATGCTGAGTAGTCATCATGCCCCAGACTGAAGGAGAGGCTGCTGGAATGTCCCACACTCACATTCAACTGGCCGAAGGCATGAGGCCATCTCTCCTAACACCTGCAATGCAGATGTTTTTGGATACTTCCCCTGGCAAGATCAGAGCAAATACCTCTTCTCTGTCATTAACACACAGGGACACTTGCATCAACAGTGGCCAGCCACTACCACCCCCTCAGGAGCATAACTACCATTTGCATATGACTTAACCACTTGTAGGCTTCCTCTATCTCATGTATAAAAGAGGATAGCAGTACCACGCCTACCTCTTCTGATTGTTGCAAGAGCTAAAATGAGTAAGTGTGTGTAGAGGATAAGAACGGTGCCTGGCATGCAGCAAGTGCCACACAAACTATTAAAGGAAAGCAGTTTTACAGGAATGCCCCATTACCCTCACGGCAGCTCAACGAGTTGGTTAGTATTTGCCCTGGTTTTCAGAGGAGGGATAGAGGCTAAATGATTTAAACCAAGGTCATTGCTAGGAGTTGATGGAGACCATGCTCCTGATGCTGATGCTGATGCCTGCCCCCACACTTGTATATATATGGTCACATGCTAGTTCTGACCACACTCACGTGAGACCTATCCAGAAGTCCCAGATAGTACTGGGCACCTCTGCCCTCACACCACCTCACAGGCATAGTACTATAGGTATAGGTTGACATAGTATGAGAGCTAAATTACACACATACAGCATCTCATGGGTCATTGGATAGCCAGGTGTATAGTCACCCATACTCTGCATGACACACAGACACACAGGATACATGGACACAGGTGAGGTGCACACCACATGCAGGGTAGGACACATAGGGCCTCTCACAATCACAGGTATGGAATGCTCACACATACAAGGTACATAACCGCCCCCCCCCCCCAACACACACACACTCCCTGGACCTCACCATCTCCCCCAGCTCCGTCTCCAAGTCGCTTTTCTCCACACAGAGTTTCTCATAAGCCTGGATCATCTCCCTGAGCTGTTCTTCCTGCTCTTTATTTTTCTGCAACTGGATGGTGTACCAGTGTCAGGTCCATCCTTGACTGGCTCCCTGGACCTCCCCGACCCCACTTCCAACAGGATAGGAAGAGCTGAAACTAGGGAGGGCAGTAACCTCCTCTGATCAAAGGCCAGAGGCCATGGTGGGGATGGGGGGCAAGGCAATGGGTATTAGAAACAATTGGGCAGGAAGCTTAGGGAACAGGGTGGGCAGGGAAGTCAAAGCCAAGAGCTCACCTCATGCTGGAACTGGTTGAGCCGTTGCTGCAGACTGACCTTCTCCACCTCCAGCAGGGAGCCATCCTTGATTTCATACAGAGAGAAGCCATGCTCCTCTCCAAAGTCACTGATCAGTGGGTACTGTGGAAGGGCAGTCCTCAGAGGGCTGGAGCCTGGCTCCCACCCATGCCCTGACTGCTCCATGCCCCACCCCACAACCTGCCTCAAAGTCTTCTCTCCCTGCCCATTCCAATGGGATCAACCACTTCAAAGCTGCACCCCCAACCCCCAATGGCTGCTGAGTGTTCAGAGCTCACATCCAGGGCAGCCACATTTTCAAGGAAAAATCTCAAGTTCTGACAGCCTCTTCTGAATTCTTGGAATCTTGGCTGTGCCATCCCAGCTTTGCAACACTGATACTCCCCCTTACCATCACCTCCAGATTCTGACCTTGATCTCATAGACTTTGAGGCGACGGCGGAGAGTGGCATTCTCCCTCTCTAGGCCCCCCAGTCGCTCCTTGATGTCTCCATAGGCTGTGATCAGAGCAAAGTGAGAGGCAGAACACATGTCACCTCCCAGTGAGGGATCTCCAGGACCATCTAGCCACACCTCACTGGGCGCCAGTGCCTCCTGGGTCAGGATGCTGATGTCATCTTCAAACATGGACTCCATGGTAAGGGCTTCAGCCCACACTGGGCTGCCTAGGAGAGCAGGAACAACATGAAGAGGACACCTGGGGCTTCTTACCAAACCCCTCATGCTGGCCTGAAGCACCCCATGGCTGAGAAGCAGCCTGGAAGATTCAGCTGGGGGTGGTGGTGGGGGCATGTGTGTGTGTGTGTGTGTGTGTGTCCCATAACTCTTTCTCAGAGGGTTAAGCCCATTCTCCTGCTGCCACTGCATCTAGGAAGGAGCTGGAACCAGATGAAGACCGAGCAGACTGGAGGACAGTTGATAAGCAGGGTCAAGGAAGCCACACCAGCGGCAGGGAAAGGCTCCTTTCCAGAACCCAGGAGACCTGTGGAGGGAGGACTGCTCTGGCAGCACTGGTACTGCCAGAGCCTGCTTAGACTGCTCAACTGTCTCCTCCCTAGACCGCCCCCCTCCCCAAATACCTCACCAGCCGCCACGGTTCCCATCCCAAGCTTCTAACAGGCCAGCTTCTCCCTAAGGCCGGCCAGTGTTCAGGAAGGCCAGTCCCACCAATCAACCCGGCCTCAGTCGAGGGCCCCTGCCCAACTTCCTCCCTTCCTCTCACAGGATCCCAGAGTTCAGGAAAAGGAAGTGCCTCCCCCACTCGCACGGGGGCTATGGCAACCGTCCAGGAGCTTTCGGCTTCTGACCTGGGAGCTACAGGAAGTTCTTGCCTGAGTGTCACAGGGAGCAAACTGGGCTAGGGGGCCGGGGAAAGGAGAACCACTATAGGAGACTCCAGCCTGTCCCTGTGTGCCCGCACTCAGGAAAATGTGGAGGTCCTGGGAGGGGGCAGGAATGACTCAGGGCTCCCGAACGAGTAGGCGCGAGGGGGTGCGTGTGTACTTCTCCCGGCCTGTTTATGAATGTGTGGCTGGCATGTGGGGGGAGTGTGTGTCTGTGAATGAGTGTAGGTGTGCCGCCGTCAATGAGCGCCTTTGCGGGACGGAGGATGGGGGTCAGCACGCAGTTAGGGAGCAGCCCGGGGCTGTGTGCGCGCGTGTGAGCACGCGTGCGTGAGCGTGTGGGAAGGGTGGGGACGTTCGGCCAAGTATCACGTGAGGCACTATGGGAATGTCTGAGGTGTGTGCTCGCGCCGAAGCATGTGTGCGCCTCTGCGAGGGGGCTCGGCCAGGAGGCACGGGTTCCGACAGTGGGGTCCCCGAGTCCCCCAGGCTGCCCTGCAGGATGTGGTGTGCACACAGGGCTCCGGCGCAGGCCCAACACCTCCTCCCCCCCTCCTTCCCCCAGCCTCATCTAAATGCCACAGAGACGCGGGTAATCAGTTCTGAGTAAGGAGTGTGTGCGCGTGTTTGTAGGACTGGCCCCACCTTTAACCCTCTCCTGCCCACGCCACCCCTCCCCCTCTTCCGCGAGCTGCCGCTTACAACACCCCCCCCCCACTCCGGACCGCGACCTCAGGCCACCGGCACTTGAGGGCTCCGTCTCCCCCAGCCGTCTGACCTCGGCCGCCTTCCTCCGCATTCTCCTCGCGGCCCCGCGGAGTGCGAGGGAAGGCGGCTCGCGAGGGGGTGCAACGCCGGCCCTGGTCCCTCTCGCGGCCCCTTTAAGAGCAGCCCTTTAAACCCCTCCGGCTAGGCCGACAGAAATTGTCGCCCCTCCCTTCTCCCGGCCAAGACCACGCAGCCCCCTCCCCCACCGCGGCCCGAGCCCCAGGCCCGGCCAGGGGGCTCCGCAGGCGGCGCGGCCTGAGGAGCGGAGGCCGAGCGGGTCCGAAGGGTGCGGGCAGCCAACGCCGGACCCTTCCCCTCGCTGCCACCCCGGGCGAGCCACCTGTCCACCCTCCCACCCGGGCCTCCCCGCGACCCCCGCGGCCCGGCGCCCGGCGCTCCGCTCCCCTC